TGATCAGGATCAGTAAGGCAACGATTTGGCTACGATTTACTCACATTATTTGTCTCAATGACTTAGGTCCTCCCAGTTTATTCTATTCTTTTGAAAGGTATAATTGGATCTCTGAATGACTTTGTTAACGTTGACCACGTACATCAATCATTATTCTCTACCTACCGATACGTCGGATACAGGCACCCTACGACTACACTTTGATGTGGTCCGCGAGTTTGCCACCTCACCAGCCTCAAACTCACGACGCTCACCTTTGTACGTGCCTGAAAAGGCAAGATGAAGATAACCAAGTATCCGATCTTGGAGATCATTGGGACGATCTCCTTGATACTCCGTTAACTATATATAATAATATAGGGGTGAATCAGAACACGAAGCGTCGCTCGCTGAGGAAGAGAAAGAGACCGAAGATAGACCATCCTCTGAGGAAGAAGACCAGCTTTTTGATGTTGATGACGGTGATGATGAGAAAGTATATTTGACTGCCAAGGAAATTATCTTTACCGATGTATCGCTCAACAAACTGCAAAAAAACATCTGTATCGAAAACGTCCTTGATGTTCCCCGAGAGAAGAGTTCTCTAGCGAAGAAACCACGACGTAAAACGGTTACCGGCCAGCACCTTAGTAACCGCAAAATCCTGAAGGCTATAGGAATCGACGCAGAGGAGCTCAAGGATGATATTTTCGTGCGTCCTATAAGCCTGCCAGATGGTGAGAATCGCATGTTCGACGAATATGGGCGATGTAGATACTGTCAAAGGAAAACCACGCACTTTGCCAGGCACATCTACGTGCATGTTTCTGACGAGTTTCATAGATTGAATTCCCTCAAAGCACTACCACCACTTCCAAAAGGTTATGGCTATATCCTGGACAGGGAGGGTATACTGGACATGGCGAAGGAATTTGACAAAACTCTCCGATGTCCTGATTGCTACAAGCAATTCAATCGTCTTGATAGCAAAGATCTGCACAGGAGGAGCCGTTGTGAACTGACATCACAAAGCCAAAAACAGAAGTACAATGAGGCTCTTAAGAAAGGCAAGAGAGAAGCAATAAGACATGGAACCCGGTGTAGGAATATGTTCAAGTTCTGTAATTTTGAGATGGAAGGTCCTGATGGGATTAACGCTATCAATGAGATATGAACACCTTTTTATCGATGCTTACAATGTGATGGAATAACATCTGATTTCTTGGTCTTATGATGCACAGCTCAGATGGACGAAGAGCGGCTGTGTGAGTGGGAATGCCTTATCTGGTTACCTTTCTGTTAGAGATCACTTCGATTGTTGTTATTGCTGCTGTTTATATTTAAATGTACCATTCTCGGGCCGAAAAATATCTGCATTTCTTAATGAGTTGAGCAAACAAGATTAATCGGAATGGTCGGTGAATCTTTCTTCCAACGTATCTCGTGACACCCTAACTACATATCCATCCAAGCATACTTAGTTTTGAAGAACAGCTTGGATGTAACTTGATGCAGATGTCAGTAATGACATCTAAATATGCAGAAATAATTTCAAAAATTCCAGGTCTCGAAGGTACCGCACAATGTGTAGAGCAACGAGGGTGAACCTGAGGTGTACTATCTGTTCTGTTATTTCGCTAGGGAGTATCGTATTTGCCGATACCATGTATCGAATGGTGAGCTATATGAGACGCCTCAGGAAACATTCGTGCTGGAATTATCGAATTAAAAGTCGCGGCAGTAACTGGAATGTAATTGGAAAGGAATAATTACAAAACCTGTATCTCATTAAAACTAAGTACATCATAATCAATTAAACGGAAATTATAATGTACTGCGAACCGTTGAGTTCCCTCTCTCTCATATAAGATAGGAATTTGACGCGACGAAAAGATTTAACTGGCGTAGTGGCAAGTTCGGCAGCATTAAGCCCCGACACTCCGCCTAAACTTTGAGGATGATGTCTTGCATCAACTCAGCTTACCAGAAACCACCACGTCGCAGGCGCTTATACTCAAACCAGCTGCGATTGGGTCAGGTTTTCAATACACTGCCATATAAACAAGGACAACCTTTCACATCTACTTTCATTGACACGCTGAATCATTCTGCTAATAAGTACGTGTGCTTCAAGTTGCTAAAGGGAACGTGAATAATCCTGATTGGCGCGGCCGCGCAGATCAGAAGGGTTTACAGAATCCCACTGGGCTTAATCCCAAAGATAGAAAATCTAAAGTATAACAACTGAAGATCCCGTTTGGGCTTTCGATACATTGAGAAAGAAATGACACCCAGGAAGCCACAATATACTCTCGTTAGCGAGAACGACGGTTTACCAAATTCCTCGAATCATCCCTCAGAATACCCATGGACACACATTCTCGCAGAATATCCAATGCTCGGTGTACGTGTTTTTCATTATTTCCAACTATGTAGTTGACCCATCCCTTTCAGATACAGTCCAAGAATTTCAAAGAATTCAAGGTTTCTAAATATCCATTGCGGTACTGCCCATCGTCACGGGAACGCGACGAAATCGCTGCACAATATGAAGACCAAAAAAGAATTATTCTTTATATGGAATCACTCGTCACGGGTATCCCTTCATCCTGGCTGCCAGCCTACTCCCGGCTGACAACGTCTGTGCTTCATGGCGCAGACCTCATGTCTCCCATCCGAAAGCTACCCGTGGAGATTTTGAGCTCTATCTTTGTATTAGTCGTCCCCGCTCTCATTGACCATGATGGTGAACTCCAGTTTCAGGATGGTGGTGCTACTCCCGAGATAGAACGGCAAAGCTTATCCAACGTCTGTAGGCTCTGGAGATTTGCCTTGAAGTCGACTCGCGGTGCTTGGTCAACCATAGTTTTGGACATTAGTCATGAACAGCCCTCAAATCTTACAACCATGTTCGAGGAATCACTTGCACACACGGGCCAGGCACCGATTCAATTATGCATCAAGCTTGTCACCGGCTGGCGTCACCAAAAGACGGTAATGGCGATCTCCAAACTTATCAAAATCATTGGACCCTGCGTGAAACGACTTACACACCTCAAGTTGCATGTAAAACATGATCTCTCGGCGAGCCCACAGTTTCAGGATGTGGTAGATCTGTTATCCCTTAATGGTCCACTTCCGAGTTTGAAGGCACTCGATGTTGGGCATTTTAGGGGCCACTGGCTTCAGAAAGTGGACGCAAAATGGGATTTCCCTGGGTTAAATTTCCTCACATGGAGGATCTGGGAAAGCGAGACGATCTTTTCCCTCCTTAGTCCAGAGACATTCAATTCTCTGGGTTCTTTGAGCTCTCCACTGGAGGATACGTTGTTCTATTTTTGAGAAATCCTTTCGGAAACCCAATGTTCTAATTTGATTGCTTTACGACTTCAGCTCGATATAATGGGTGGTGTCCCCTCATTTACCGAATCCGTCGTCCTCCGACGTCTAAAATACCTTCATTTGACAATCGGGACGGTTGACATTGAGCAAAGTCTCGATTGTCTTGCCACCATACGACTTCCGCAACTCGAGCACATTTCGATCCATTTAGATCCTTGCGTGGAACCGTACCGACAAGATTTGGTCATCAACATCTTGAAGATAGTCGCTAATAATCCCATGAAGGATGGAGTCAGCTCCGTGCATCGTATAACAGTGGCAAGCTCCCGGGTTACATCTCCTCGGTTCGCCAACACATTGAAGGAATTCCCAAAATTACGCAGACTCGATCTTCTCAGCTGTCGTATGTCCACTGAACTTTGGAGATTCTTCCAAGCCAAAGACACTGACGGGAAATTCACAATGAAATATCTGGATTTCCTTCATATATCGCGGTGTCGATTCGATGCAGGGGAACTTTATGAGATGCTGAAAACAAGGGTGGACGGTGATGTTGAAGGAAAGGCACCGCTTACTGAGGTCCAAGTTCGTCATGTGTGGTCGCGTCGGTTTTCGGAGAAGATATTAGAAAGGATGGGTGACATTGAGTCTACAACCATAAAAACTGATTTCTTTAAGTAAATGCGGCAGGTTTGATCAATATTAGTAACATACGAACATGATAAGTAGAAAGATATGTCTTAAAGGAGCAGTATCTATTTAGTAAGATACCGTCATAATACAAGAGTTAGACTCTGTAGCGGCTAACTGGACATCACAATAATCGAAGTAAATACGTAATATATTTCATAAATTGTTATAGACACATCTTTCGTACTAGCGGAGCGGACCAATTTACCTTGGGCAAAACTCTGGCGGCAAAATTCCAGAGCTCTACCGCAGCCGCCGTACAAACAGGTCAACGAAGGCAAAACTGGTCAACCAGAGTGTGGGAACTCCGGGCTCGGAAATACGAATACGTTTCCCAATAAGAGTTTTCACCATCTTTCAGCCAAAAGCCATTATTCACTTGATCGGGTATTAATTTTTAAGGATAGTGCATTTTCGTTGGAAGATCTCCGAACGAGCGAAATCATGAAATGCACTATGGAGGTAGCAGTCTCCAAAAGGCTCGCTCATGCATTTTACATCAGCTTTTTTTGGTCCATGTAACATCTGCATAAATACTAATTAAATTAGCCTAGAAGGTCTATAACATCATTCCCTTTGGGCGGTAGGGACTGCCTTGTGGTTCGTGACTTTGGTCTCTATCATGTTATAATTTATACGCAACCATGCATTTCGTGCGTAACATTGTCCAGTGGCCTGTACCGAAAGTCCTAACATACTCCTGTGCAGAAATGACCAATGTCGGTGCCGAGTACATTATTATGGAAAATCCGGAGGGTGCTTATTTAGGCGATCGTTTGAATAATGCGCCTATGGGACGGATACTACATGCCTGTCTGAGAGATCTTGTACGCTACGAAAAAGCAATGACGGAGACACAACTAATCGGGTTTACCCTGCGTCTCAAATCAGAGTCAAAGGAAGATATAATAAGCATCCTATAGGCTTCCAACTTCTAATGGCGTGCGAACTCACTTGGCTGGGTAAAAAAAATAAAGCTGCAAAAAGAATGCACTAAAGGGGAATTGAACCCCTGGCTGGTCGATAATGCTCGATTGGCAACGACCAAGGTTACCACTACCCCATTAGTGCCATTACATTTCCTTCCCGATTATAGTACTAAACCCCATACAAAGCTATTTCAAAATTGAGAAATAATCAACCTTTAACAAAAGCAGGTTACCCGGACTTGAACCGGGGTCATGAGAATCTAAGAGTCAGCTCGTCTGGAACAAACAAGTAGAGCATTCAAAATCTCAGGGGATAACCACTACCCCATAAAAACTTATTTCGAGGGTCGTTAATAGATACATTTGGTAAGAATGGATGAACGATAAATAAAGCAAAGCTTCGAGTTAAGTATCGGACTAGTGTGTTCGAACCATCTGAATCGACATGGGAAAAACACTTCATCTAAATATATTATCTAATGTATATAATCCATATATCAGAATTACAGCGTACTTCCGACCTGGCCACGATCATGGCGAGCGGATATATCGGCCTGGTGGTCTAGAGGTATGATTCCTTCTTAGGGTTTACCAAACCAACCAAGGACGAGAGTTAGAAAGGTAATGCGAGATTGAGAAAAGTCTAAAGACATTTGGGGATTAGTTGAACTTGAGGAGAAAATATTACAATTAATTATCAAAAAACGTGCAAAGGAATAATAGTGCGGTGTCTGGCACATACGCGGTCAAATCAGTTCTAAACGAGATGGGAATTAGCCAAGTAATTTGCAATGAAGTTGAGACTAAGATGCAGTCCCAGGCACTCGAAGCACCTCTCCGGTACTAGAGTGATTGATCTGGGCGATGCGGCATTCGAATTATAATTAGAAAGCGAGCACGTACTTTTCTCTCTTCGTCATTCTTCCTTTGATAGCTTAGACCTATGAACGTAGGACAACACTTTCTTATCAAAATGTATAGATATCGGACGAGAGAGCCCAAGGGATGATTTCGTCTAAGTCTATTAACGACGAGCATAGTCTTTCGTTCCGACATGCTTGGAGATTAACTTATCACGACAGTGTATCCCCTTTATATGTTAAAGTGACGCCCTAAATCAGAGTCCTTCTTGCAATCTTCAAACGTTGCCAGGAAAGCTATGTTGGACCTTGATACGGTAGACACTGAACCGGCGATATATCGCATCCGCTTAATTAAGGGGCCATTAAGAGGTCGCTATCCAGCAATATCTCTTAAGAAAATTCGTAGGATTCCCAGTCCACGTCTGTGACCTGATATTAATTGACTCCTGAGGCAGGAAACTAAGAGACAGCTACGCACCACATAAATGTTTAGGGAGCCACTCTGAGATGTAATCCAGGCAAAGGATTCATTTATATTCGAATCCGAACATAAATTGAGGTGTGTAAACCGCGCTAAATAGAAGGACGTATGGGCCAGCTCATGGTCGAAAAACTTGACCGCCAAGCGCCGAAGTACGTCAGCTCATTGCGTAACTCTTGCTCTGGTCACCTACAAGGGTTCACCGGCGTTCATTTTCCGTCTCTGGGTGTTGGGATATTAACTCGCAGATCCACAGAATTTATACAAAACAGCCTCATGATGGCTTATCCATTCATGGTGATAGCTCTCTCCGATAATTTAACGCCTTGAGATAATAGTCCTTGGTATCAATATATTTACTGCGACGTTTCTCAGAATGAAAGCCATGTTCAATAGACGTCGGAAAACTCTGTGGCGTATTTGCTCTATTGGGTGGCAGGCGCGATTAGGTGACCGTCCGCAAGTGAGAGCAGCATCCCACACTACGAACCACACAGCATAATCTAAGTTTCATCTCACGAACAGGTCCCTTAGCCTTTTGAATGGGTCTTAATCGCCGTATACAGCCAGCCTAGAATCTAACGATAAGCCAAACATTTCGCGGAACATACGCTCTTCCATGTGTATGTCATCAGTTCTATACCCAGTTATATGATTCCTTTACTCTCTTGGCCTACTACTGACCCTTCTGATTTATCTCTAGGGTTTGAATTGTTATTTCTGGTTCGCTACGAGCCGACCCTTAGCCAAGGTTAATTTAGCATCTTATTGAGCACATTTTTTCAGTAGGCGTGCCATTGCAATCATATGTTTAAAAGCCGGAATGTAGAATGTAGAGATTGAATTCAAGCTCCATTTAACCTTTCGGAATGCGAACCGTATCTCTTCGGCTTGATCGTCTAGGTCGCTAACGAAAGGCTAATTAGTTCAACTAGTGTTATATTGGGATATAAGGTCGTTGGCAAAAGCTATGTCTACTTAACCGAATTTCCACCCGAGATATTGAAGCCGAGTTTTTTTACCTGAACTGCTTTGAAGGTCCTTAGTAGCTGTTAGCTGTTCTCAATTCTAAATGTCCCTAATTTCCCTAAACTTCTTCGGCATGACCTCTTGAGTGATGTGACCGGACCACCGGGTCTGTAGGAACACAAAGAATTGAGGTACTTGTCCACAGCGTTTTGGCCACTAAATATATAGTTCTTGTGTAAGCAGTTAAAATAACAATTTGGTCTTGGCCATCAGCTTCTTCGATGGACATCCCGCCCCCACCCATACACATCATGTATGCGCACTCCCAAAACCCCCTTTTATGGCTGCGGAATTAGGCCTCCTGGAGTCTATAAAAAGAACGAGGAGAGCCCGAAGCTCCTTCTCATCCTCATCTGCTATGATAAGAAGAAAGATACCGAGTAGGAAAAGCGGCGAGAGAGGAGAGCAAGCGTGAACGGAGGCGCGGCGCCGGGCGTGCCATGTCGAGAAGCTGTCACTAGTTGTCACGTAGTCGCACGTGTCACGAAAAGGCGCATAAGCGCTGCGTATGTGCTTATCAGAAGGCAAGCACGGTCAAGTGTGCCTTAGGGAAAGCCTAGAGGTGTTCCTACTTTCTCTAAGAAAAATCCCCCGACCGAACGGCTTGCCATCCCATCGGGTATCTCCACCCGGTAGCCTAAGACCGTTGCCGGCTAGGGACAGCCGCTAGGGACAGAATTGAGAAACCCTATTGCTTGATTCCGAAATAGCTTCTTCTCCATTGGGAGATAAGCGGGCCGGTGTGCCGCTCCGATTCGATCCGATGTGGCGGAACTATAAACGACGTGTGACGATCATACGCCTCATCGCGAACCATGGTCTTTTCCCATCCCTTACTCCATGTTTCTCCCTCTACGCTACGTTCAAGAAGCTGAGAGATAGGAGCTGATAGAAAGTAGCTACTCTGGTTATTGGACGTCGAATCAGCGTCAGCGTGGTTATTATTCTATACTCGTACTTAGGGTACGTCGGTTGAATAGCTGTTATTTAGGCTATTAGGTGCGTGTATGGTCTTTCAACTCTTTTTATCCTTCCTGAAGTCATAACACAGTTTATGATGGTTTCGCTCCAAGTCCTTCAGACACACGGACTTCTAGATTCGACATGCTTACTCCACGGTAATAATCCAGGAATAGGTGTCTTATCGGATGATGTTCTACGCATCCTATTCGAACACACTGCGGCAGAGGCAGCTACCGCGGTGTCTACAGCCCTCAGGCTCTCCCATACATCCCGACGATGGCGCCACGTCGCACGTCATCTCGCGACACTCTGGACACGTATCCACGACGGAAACGGTGCTCTGACATCGTTATGCGTATCTCTCAGCAAGAAGGCTGATTTATATGTCACATTAACTCCTAAATGTCGCCATGCTAGTGATGTCGCCTACCGAATGGGCTGCGAGTTCCATCGTATCGTACGATTAGAACTCGACGTGTCCTTCGTCCATTTACGGCACATTATACCGCTATTGGCTTTCCACCCAGCCCCTCGACTTCAACATTGTCGAATCTCTTCTTTTCCAGTCGACTCTCCGCGAAGACGTGCCAACATGGACGTCCTCACGCGGCTTTTCATGTTGCCATTATTCGGTGGACATTCCAAATCTCTCCAACGAGTGGAATTTGCTCGTATTGCACCATTTCCAGACTCTAATGTGTGGAGAAACCTGAATTCGATTATGTTGCGCGGTCTTGAACCGATGTTTGCATTGGATGATATGATCACAATCCTAAAGCGATCTCCACAATTAACAGAGTTGGATATTTTCGATTCAATATACCTCCCGGATATTTTCTTTGAGGAATCTATGGAACTCCCACAGCTTGAATCTCTCTCAATTAGGTCTTGTCCACCGGACGTCACCTCCCGTTTTCTGGACGTTGTTTCGATGCCAGATCTTCAACGACTCCATATAGAGCCTTCTCTCGTAACTTTGAATGCAGAATTCCACAACATCCTCAATTTAGCGTCCTTATCGCGGTATTTCCTTCGAAAAATCACCCACTTATCCCTCATGGATTCAGAGGAGTGTGGCAATGCCGATGCCGCTTCCACAAAGTACCCTTTCCTCATTGGCAAATCCAGTCTAGATCCCCACGTCCATCTAACCATCCAGTTGATCTCCAGGTCGCAAGGCATTTATACCCAATTGCTCTCCCTATTTCCTTCCGTAGAGACTCTTATTGTCCACCATCCTTCACTCATGCGAACCTGGGACTTATCCACTTCCACTTCCGTCACGACACTTCGGATCGAGAAAGCCCCCAATCTTTTTATCCTCAATGACATTGAACGCAACGGATGTCTTCCCAATCTCCAACATGTTATGATTCGTGGTTCGGATATCGATGAAGGGCAGCTGGAATTGCTCACGTCGTTATTAGGACATTGGAAAGGCTGCGAGCTCACCCTCGAAGATTGTCCTGATATTCATCGAAATTTCGTTCTTCCACACTGTAAAGATCTAGATATTCCTGTACGTTTCACCAATGTAGATCATACGGAAATGTAAGCTATAGTATTTATGGGATCTCATTCCTCTGTATTACTTTTTTCCAATACAACTGTTTTGTTCCGTACCCTTCTGAAGTAATATCAACAGCCATCTCATGAGAAGCGTCACCCTAGTTTTGGGAATAGACGCTGTTCAGAGATTCCGGTCTCGCGGCGGTATTGGATATTTGCCCTTTGAACTGTTCAAGTATTCTGATATGGTTTTATAAGTGCTCTACATGTACTTCCGTTATACCTAGAGGGAATCAAAACGAAAGCCTGATCCAAAGCATATACTGCCAGCAGAGTGAGCTTGCCTATTAAATTTGCAGATCAATGGGCTCCGTGAGCGAACGAAATGTGGGTATTGTACGATGAAGGAGTTGCAGGGCGTGGCGAATCGAAATTTGATTCTAAAAGGAAACATCATTAGATCGTACACGGTAGGAGTGAGGATGGACAT